CTATGTAAATGAAGACCTAATTGACATAATTAATGGCTAATTTTTATAATTTCATAGTTGTAACTACTGGGAATTTCATACTTGCCACATTTGGAAGTTAAGTGAAGGCGAACATCAATAAACATAATTTATTCAAATAATGACCTCATTTGCATAATTTATGAGGAAGTGCTATAATAGCCTTTTTGTTAAGATAAGACTGTCATTGGGTGGAGAATATGATCAACTGATATAACCCATGCAAATGAGGATCTTATTTGCAAAATCAATTATCAAAATTGTATAATATTTCAACCGCAAGGGTTAACATCATTTGGCGAAGGTATGAGATCGTGGAACTCTTGTTATGCATGTGTTAGATCCTGATGTTAATGTGAATAGTGTCGTCGACTCCGATGTTACTGTGAATTTCGCTGTAGCCACAGAGCCCTCTGTTCCCAATTATGATGTTGTTGTAACCGATAGCATTACGGCGCCTCCTACGCCACAGATGGTGTTCAGTGTTGAGCGTGAGAAATGTTGTTCGCTTCCCTCCCCGGGCACTTGGTCAGATGGTAGTCATCAGCGGGATGACAGTTCGTTTGTTTATTCTAATCTCCAAGCAGATTCGGTGGGGCAGGGGGACTTTATATTGGCCAGTCCTGTATCCATTGGCCGCCTGTATCCAACGTTCGTGGGGCGAACGTTGGATACAGGCGGCCAATGGATACAGGACTGGCCAATATAAAGTCCCCCTGCCCCACCGAATCTGCTTGGAGATTAGTTTATTCGACAGTCGCCGACTCGGCGGACCTCCCACGGCCCGCCAGATCCCTGTCTCCAGCCCCCTCCGGGCGGCTTCACACCCGGCTCGCACTCGGCCAGCGGGCGCAACTAGCTGGATCTCAATCTTCAGTCTCCACGGGGGGACTTCGCACTCGGCTCGCACCCGGCCAGCGGGCGCACCTCGCCGGACCTCAATCTTTAGTCCCCACGAGGGGGCTGTCTTATCGTCCAGACCCCGGCCACCGCGCGCCTTTTCCCAGCCTGACAGATTTCCAGCGCTGGCACGTCACGGTTCATCGCTCGGGCCTCCCCAATTATCGGGGTTCCCGCATTCCCGTCCCCAGTAACCTGAACGTAGCCGCCTGGCGTCAATTCAATTCCTTGCCATTTTCTCACTATTAGTACCTCATAATAGTTTTAA